ACCCAGGTCTCGCCCTGAGAACCTGGCTCTGCTTCCCGCTTCCCGGCGGGGGATCCCGTTGCCTTCCCATTCCCGCAGYGGGCACAGCTGGGAGCTGGGTCTTGCCGGCCGCTCGGGAAGCTCCTGACAAAGCAGGGACTCGACCCGGCTCCCAGATAAGCACTGCAGCAAGTAACTGTTTTTCTTTTATTGCTGCTGATTCATCTTTCCAGAGACTCTGTGTGCTGTCCCTGCCACTTATCTGGACTTGACTGGAAATTCCTCAGCAAAACACTCGGGGTTTACRAGCTCTGCAAAACCAGCTGAAGCAGCACAACCCGCACACGCTCCCGGGAATTAAAAAAAAGGCTCAGATTTGGGTGCATTGACCCATCCTCCTTCCCCTGCACAATATTGGGTTCTGGCCTGGTTCATACGCCGCGCTCCTTTGCATGCTAATTAATATTAGGAATGGTCTTTTTGGTTGTCTGAAATCGGCAGGAGTTGAATGTCCCCTCCTTGGACAACTGCTCGTGCTGAGCTGCGTTACCAGCCCGTTGCAGATGTGTCGCCGAGAGGGCTCTGCGCAGGAAGGCTAAACYAGCTTAAAAAGAAAAAAATCCCCAAATTGTTTACCGCTGTTTTTAAAGCTGGGTCTGTTGCCCATCCTGGTTCACAGCCTGGCTCACCAGTGGTTGTGTTGGCAGAGCCGGGAGCGGACGGGGAGCAGATTACACGGATCCTGCTGCCGAAGGCAACACGTTGTCACCGGCAGGTCCCTCCTGGGCCAGCAGCAGCCCCGGAACTGGTACCAGCACCAAAGAGCACTCGAGCATCAGCTGTTTCCCTCCCGGCCCCATTGAGGGCTGCAATAATAAGGGTTTGATAAACACTCCAAAGCGCTTAATCTGCTTTTTTTTTTTTTTTTTTTTTCAGTCCGCTGCAGGCCAGGCAACAGTCAGCGAGACATTAAACAGCAGAGCGGGGCGCGTTGTAATTAACTTGAAAGCCCCGTGGCCCCGGCGCGGGCGGCGGGCGCGCTGCGGAGGAACCTGGGCTCGGTGCGAGCTCCAACCTCGGGATCCAGTCGAGGCTTGTCCGGAGAAGGAGCGTGTGCCTTTATTAGCATGCAAATCACACAGCGCTTTATTGCTCCGTCTYCCCATCCCTCCCACCGGAGCTGGTTGATAGAGGCAGGCTCCAACTAATTAAATTCCTTTATTCCTAGCTCATGCTTGGAGCGCGGCGCCCGGGGCGAGGATGCCAAGGGGCACGCGCCTGTGCCCGCTCTGCTTCCCGGGAGCCTCCCGGTCCAGGGATAAGGGAGGAAGCCCCAGTGTGGAGATGGGGGTGCCAGGCACCGGCTGGGCAGAGATCCCGCCAGGGCTTCCCAAGCGGCTTTCAGCTTTGGACCCCTTCGGAGCGCAGATCTATGGATCAGTCCCGGTGGGTGATGACCCTTCATCGGGAATTCCACATCTGAAGCTCTTGAATAATGTGGCTCCTTTCAATAAACACTTAAAAGCCCAAACCACCTTCAGCAACGTACACCCAAGCTAATGACAACATATACCCAAGTTAATGAATTTAATTACTATAAAATTACTCTACTGTGTACTTGTAATTTTAATCTCCTAATCTGCAAAGTACTTTTTTTTCCCCCCCCTTTGATGCTTTTGGTTTCCTTGCCAGTTTTTCAAGGATCTTTGAACACGGAGGAGAAGCCTCCTACAAATAGCCCAGCTGTGGCTCTGGGGTTTCTTTCTTCTTTATTCTAAACATCACCCTTCATAATAAGGCAAAGCCTTTAAAAGCAGTAACATGATCTAGCCCAGCGCACCAGCCGTTCTGGGAAGGCCTCTGGTTACCGCGGCGGCTCTGCACGGGTTATGGACAAGTGCACAGAAGGGATGCCCAACACCAGCATCCTTCACGTGCCAAGGGAATTGCAGGCTGGTGCCAGGGAGGAAAATCTCATGCCGAGTGTCACCAGCCAAGGAGCAACCCAGGACTGGTCCCTGTGGTGCTCCCAGCTGCCTTGGTAGAAGCATCACCGCTGCAAAACCAGCCTTTTGCAGGGAGGGATCCCAATGTGTGTCCCCCCTTGTTGGCCTTGGAGCTGAGCTTAGGGACCGTAGTGTTTCTGGACTGCTAAAACTCCAACAAAGTTGCCCTTTTCTGTGCTAGCTGTTTAAAGTGCTCGAGGGCAAACCAGAGAGAGCGGGCAGCACGTGCAGGATTTGTTGAACCGATGGCATCAAGCAGGGCTTAGCTGTTAAATCCATTTTGAACAGACTTAAAAATGCGCTCGCACTCGGTGGCTGAGTCTCTCACAGCTTTTATTCTCATTGCACCCTGTGACTGCTGCTGTTTTCGTTTTAAGTTGGTGACAAGAGGGGAAAACTAAGTGATTTGCCTAAGGTCACACAGTAAAACACAGTGCAGAGGGATTTGAGCCTCAGCTGTAGATCAGGTTCCTGGCTGTGGCACCATCTTTCTCATGCTGGAAACAGGCTGACAGCTCTTCTCTTTTGCAGAACGCTCCTATTTTCCTATTTGTTATTTTTTCCTTCTGGGGGAGATTTATTTTTAAGTGCAAAATACCTAGCTGCCCATATTAAGCTACCTTAGGAATAATCAGCACGGAAAAAGCTCAGATGCTTTCCCAAATAGGAAGTAATTTAGATTCCAGATTAATGCCCATGACAATGGAAACGTGTAAAATCTTTTCCTGACAGGGAACCTGAACCACGGCCGGACCTTATCTAGGGCGGACGCAGGTGTGATGGGATGTGAGATTTGCTTGTGCTGCAAAGGAGCAGGAGACGAGTTCCCGGGAAGGTTGAATGTCTCCYTGCACAAATGCTCCCGTGTTTTGCCCTGCTGTGTCTCGCAGGGACACGTGAGCTYTGCTTTGCAGGCAATGTGCACACACCAGCGACCTGGGACTGCAGACCAGGCTTTACACCTTGCACACGAGAGCTGCCAAAGCCCTGAACTTTCTTCAGCGTGTCTAATATATGGCCATGGCCTTCTCTCTGACATAAAGCAGGAGTCTTGGGAGCTTTGCCTGCTTGCGTGGAAATGGGTGTCTCAATGATGAGATTGTCCTGCTAAAGGGAATAACGCAATGCATCTCCAAAAGGCCCAAACGAGGTGAGAACGTGTGCGCTTGCAGGCCCTCCATGCAGGTRCTCTATCCCCAATCCCACTCAATGCAAGTGGAAAGTCAAAATCCAGCCCCAAGAAATAAAGTCAGACGGAGCCATAGGGRGGACGAGGCCTCGGCATCCCCACCTGCTCCCCTCGCTGATGAGCTCAGCAGGGCGCAGAGGATGTTGCCAGATGCATCCCAACAGATGCCCGCAATTTGCACTCAGCTGTCCCGCTGCTGCTTCTCCACCCTAGGAAMCTGGGAAACCCGAGTTTGTGTTCGCCAGAGAGGCCAGAGGAAAGCGGTGGCAGGGGGAAAGGGCAGGGGGAAATGCTGCAGGTTCCCCCTGCTCTTGGTCGAACTGCAAAATAATCAGATTAAGCCATAACCGTATAAATGGGGCTTGAGAGTGTTTGCTCTGCTGACTTGGCCGTGCATTCAGGACGTTCGGCGCGGTGCAACTATAGCCCAGGAGGTATTAGTCACGCTGGGAGAACTTCAGTGAATATAAGAGGGCTTCATCTGGGCAGTTACCAAGGCAACTCGTGCTAATATTTCATTACAATGCTCTCGCCCGCTCCAAGTCCCACGGATTAGGACTGGGAATCTCGGAAAGAGGCATTTCTTGTCAATATTGTGCTTGGACTGAGTGTGTCCCCAGGAAAAAAAAAGACAAGAAAAGGAGGCGTTTCCCGGGCTCCATGCAGCTGGAGCCGGTGCAGTGCAGAGATGGGTCTCTCTCCTTGCACTCGGAAGCAGGGATCCTGGAAAGGGCAGGATGAGAACGTGGAGCTCCTGTCATCCACGCGAGGTGATGCCCAGGTTGCTGCTGCAGCTCGACTTGCACCGGGCACCATTCTCCTTTGTACCCATGTGCTTGACGCTCCAAGCCCCTGGCCTTGGGGGTTGAGGTTTCCCACGTTCGAGAACCACTTTGGAAGGGACAAGGGAAGAAACCCTTCGTTTTTAACATTTCTTTTTCTTTTCAGACTTTGCATCTAACCTCTTTACCAGCTGGCACTGTTTGCAAGCCCCACAGTTCTCATTTCATCTGGGAAAACACGTGCAGCGCAATTAGAAAAGCTGCTGGGGAGCAGCATGAGCTGGGAACGAGGCTTTGCAGCTTCATTCTGTTTTGCTGCACTTTTAAATATCCAGCTCAGCTACAGGTTGGAGGTTACAGGGAAAATTCCAACTTTAAATATTTGTTCCTCCAAATTCAACAAATCGACTGGGTGGTCCTGCCAGGGCTGTGCCCCTCTCTCTAGCTGCACCCCTTATGATTGATAAGAGACTGGCGTTACTTATTAAACAATCTTTGGAACATTTGCAGCTTCAAAACCTTGTAGAAACCCCTGCATAAAGTGTTCCTACTGGCAGGGGAGGCAGTTCATGCTTTAGTGTGGTTCTTGAGGGCAAAGCTGTGGAGGATTCCCAGCAAACACCCCACTCTGCCCTTTCCAATGCCACTTCTTGAAACTGCATCTGCAAGGAGAGAGTCTGTACCTGCACCATTGCATGCAACCATATGATTCTCCATGTGCATTTGGAGTTTCTGTGCATGTTTTGCATGCAATCTCTGTGATCTGTTTGACTTGGGGAAAGAGCATGTGCCCAAACTTGCAGTTTCCTGACCCAAAAGCAAGCAAAAGAGTGCCCAACTTGTAGTTTCCTGACCCAAAAGCAAGCAAAAGAGGGCTGCTCTCTGCATTACTTTTTTCATGGCAATCAAGTGTCTTCTTCAGGTTCAGCTGTAGCCAGTTTCTCTACGGAGCTGCAGCTGGTGTGCGTTAGGCTGGCGTTAGGCCGGGCTTGCCCTCCATCTCCCCAAGCCCCTCTGCAGTGCCAGGGGGGGTTTGTTGAGTTGGGGGTGTGTGTGGAGAGACCCTATTTTGTGGGGGCAACTTGGACACATCTGATGTTGGAGCTTGTTGCTTCTTCTAATGGCGCCTCTCAGGTAAGAGCAGCATCTGTTAATTCTCATTAAAGAAAAGGGCTCTGGAGCCACAGGGAGTTTAGGGTGGAAAAAACAAGGATTTGGGTCAATGCCAGGTAGAGACAGGGTGAAAGAGGCACCTGCGGTGGCCTCGGGAGCGCTGGGGACACCGGCTGCCAGGCGGGCACAGCCCGACCTTGGAGGGAGCTGAGCCCGAGGTGCCGAGTGACGCGTCCCAATGGATCGGGAAGCTCCTTGATCTCCCGGCGCAAACGGCCTCCGCAGACAAAACACAGATGCAGCCCTTGCTGTAACCTGAAGGTACTGCCCAGGCCTGGCAGAGCGTCCAGGGGKTTTTGAGTCAAAACAGTCTCTCAAGCTTGACTAAATGTTGGAAGAGAGAAGAGTAGGGAGGAAATAAGATACCGTAAAGTAATTTAACCAAAGGGGGGGGGAAATAACTGTAAATTCCCGATGTCTCCCACTTCTCTTCGTGCTCGTGTGGTGCTGGTTAGTCCCAGTGTCCCATGTTCCCATGTAGAGCAGTTGGGCTCTGGGAAGATAAACAGGAGACTCTCTGTTTTAGCAGGTCTGTTTCCTGGTGCATCGTCTTATCAGCCTGCTCAGGCTCGGCTCATTTTAACTCTGTTTCTGCTCACACTGCCAAACCAGCCTCAGTGGTGACTTTATGCAGGGAGAGCTGGGCTTAGAGTAAGAGCACAGGGTGGACGCTGGTGATTTSGGGTAAATCGGCCGGATTAGGCAGGACACTGAGTCTAAATGGTCCCCCCTGGCCTTCAGCTTTCGCTTTGTAAGAACCCTTCTTGGAGGCAGGTTCTGGTGAAATTCCTCATGCCTTCAACAAAACTCCCAACTCCTTTCCCACCGCAGGAGCAAGCTCTGCCCCAGCTCCTCCTCTGCAGAGGAGCTTTTTTTTAAAAAAAGAAAAAGCTGTAATTGAGCTGTCAGATTGAAGAACAAACAGGGAGAATGTACCTTGGGGCTGTGTTTGCAGAAGCGTCTGGGTGTGCGTGTGTGCCAGGATCTGTGTGAACAGGAGGGGAGGCTTTTCCAGCGCTTTGTGAGCCGAGCAAATCCAGCGCAGGGCTCTTGGAAAGGCAGAGAAGCAGGAACCTGCTTGTGGGTTTGAGGCTGGTTTGGTTTGGGGGAGCCTTAATTCACAGTCTYTCTTGCAAAACCCTAAATCTGGAGATGTGTTGTGAGGCTGTGGGTGCTCTTCTTGCTCGCGTTGGTTCAAGAATCAGCTCTTAGCATTTAGTGGCTGCTCTTAACCCCCTTTCTCTGCATCTTTTTTATTTCTCTATGTAATAGACAACATTAAAAACAAATAAAATAAAACAGAGAAGATAGTTATGGCAAGCAGAGCTTTTCAGCATCAGCACGGAAATACTTGTCAGGCCTTGCTTCTGTCCATGGGACTTGGACGCTGCCCTGACGTGGGTTAAAAGTAGGAAAAGTGTTGACTGGTATTTCCTGAGCCTTTGTTCTGGTTTAGCAACTAAATTCCCTCACCAGGGAAGAGTTTGGGGGCACAAAAATGTTAAATTTGCTTTCAKAACTGCTTTAAATCCCTCCTGCTCCGCAAAGCTGCCTCTTTTTCTGCTCATTTGAAGAACTGGCTGTTTCCTTTGGAAGCTCCCTGTGGTCCTACAAGTTTTTGGGAGGTGCAAATAAATCTCCAGAGGAGCCTGGATGCCTGCAATGGCTGCAGAGGGATAAGCGCGTGGCTGAAATCGTGTTGCTACACGTAGGGTCAGGGAGCACGTTTGGGCGAGATTGCCACGGGCTGGATTCTTGCAGTTCCTTCTGCATTCGCTGGCAGTGCCTTGGCTTCAAACAGAGAAGTCTCTTGGGCTGCTGCAGCTCCTGTTTGCTCCCATTTGCTATGCACAGTGGCTGTGCAGCCAAGCCAAGAAGCACCACTGTGGGGCTCAAGAAGTGAGATTCAAAGAAGGGGATCTGAGTAGGTAACGTGAATGATAAATACCCRGTTTTGGGGGAATAGTCCATTGCTCCTCTACCTTCAAGGGGTTTTCACCAGAATTATTTGCCGCCGGGGCCTCCTGGGTGAGATGCTCTTAGTGGGGGCTCTGGCTGCCCCGAGTCACCACAAATATCTTGTTCCCCTAAATGTTTCCCTAAGGGCTACGGTAGGAGCTCAGGAATTTATCCTGATTTTTTTTTTTTTTTAATTAACATCAAAAGAAGGATATTTAATTGTTCTAAGCCCTCTGCCCCTTTATTTTTGTGATTGCTGGAGGAAAAAAATCATARAAYTATCTCTCTTCGGACTCTTCCCATTGCATCTCTGACAAGGTCAGATACCCTCAGATAAGGCAGCCTAAGTCGTTTTCATTCTTTAAAACCCTCTYTGCAAATGAGCTCTGCCGCTAACGGGAGCCACAGCCGAAGGGCCGTGTTTTCCCGCGTGGTGCTGCTGGTTCTGTGCCACGAACCCCACGTGTTTGCCGTGATTTCCCCCCTACATGGGTTGTTCCCTTCCCTTAATTGCATTTTGGAAGGGTGATTAATTACGTGCCACACCGTTGCCACTAGAGGGATTAGGGATATTAGCCCGGTCCCTGCTTAGCTGGGTAACTCTTGCGGGGGTCACAGAAAGCTGCTTTCCTAACCCCATTCCKCTCTTAATTCCCCTTATATATTCCTAGGTACCATGGGGCATAAGCAGCTAATTAAGTGTGGCATTTGATGAAGTTAAGGAAGTTTTAAGTTAAGGAGTACCCGTGTCCCGTACATAAACATAAGGTTAGTTAACGATTACTGTGGAGCACCAGTGCGTTCAAAGGCAGCTCTTTCTTTCTCYGGAGGAAGTTTTCCCTTTTCAGATGTGGCTTAAAGGGCAAAACCTGCCCAATGTTGTTGGCTTTATGCACATTTGCCTTAAAAGAGTCTAGTTAGTTATTAAGCCGTATGTTCACCTGTTAAGTCAGCAGGGTTTTATACTAAGCCAGGAGGGAATCTCTGAGGACTGGAAAGGCAGGAAGGAGGTTGAGGATGTCAGGAAGCCCTTGGGAAGCCTTTGGCGTGTGTGGGTTTGGTGCTGAGCTCTGGACCTTGCTTGCCATGCAGAACCGCAGTGCACTTCCAAGAGGATTGTTTTCTTGGAAACTGCCCTTAAAATAGAAATGGGATGATGTGGGGCGACAGGCAGGTGCGAAGACCTTGTTTGCTTCCCAATGGGTTGCAGTACTCGAGTGACCCAAGTGCTCAGGCTTTAGGCCTGGCCTAGGTTTGCCTCCATCGTTCATGTTCAGTTTGTGCCACCTGAGGCACAACATGTTCTTTAATGGCACAAATCGTTCAATTATCTGATTTAAGAGTCTTCGCAAGCTTGGAAATCCAAGCAGTGTGTTTTGTTGGGATAACTTTCCCACCATTGCGTGTAACTTTGTGACATCGCTAGGATGTCACCACCCAGTAGCATCAGGAGCCCCTCCGTGATGGGGATGAGGAGCAGGGCGAGGGGGGCAAGCTGCTCTGCCGCTTCGCGTCCCTCAGGTGCGACAGCCAAGTCCCCCCGGTGGCGGCCACCTGTGAGGAGGCGGCCGGTGCCCCCTCGCTCGGGACTTGAGCAGAGCCAGCAGCTGCGCGGGGAGGAAAAAAAAAATCCAAAAAAATCTACTTTTTTTTTTTTTTTAAGCGCCCCGTTAATTCGGAGCGCGCGCGGAGCGCGGCGCACAATGGGCGCGTTGTTCGCGCCGTCCCCGCCCTGGCCGCTATTGTCACCGCGCCGCGCGCCAGGCCGGTGTGGAGCCGGTCCCGCCCCCCCGTGACCCCCCCCTCCCGTCGGGGCGGGCGCTGCGGCGCCGCCGCGAAGGGGTTAAGGGCTCGGGGGCCCCTCCCCGCCGCGGGCACCGGGGACGGAGCCGGGGCGGCAGCAGCAGCGGAGGGGGTGGGGGGCAGCCCCTGACTTCCTCCCCTGCCGCCTCCTCCTCCTCCTCCTCGTGCGCTCGGCGTGCGGCGCCGCCGAAGATGGCGAGGGAGCGCKGCCGGGGCGCCGCGCGGCCGCTGCTGTCGCTGCTGCTGTCGCTGTCGCTGCCCGCYGCCGCCGCCCGCCCGCCCGCCTCCTTCCCCGGCGACGTGAACGGGCACAGCCTGCACCCGCCCTACTTCAACCTGGCCGAGGGCACCCGCATTGCCGCCACGGCCACCTGCGGCGAGGAGGCGGCGGGCGGSCGCGCCGTGGAGGACCTGTACTGCAAGCTGGTGGGCGGCCCGGTGGCCGGCGGGGACCCCAACCAGACCATACAGGTACGGGGGGGTGCCCCCGCTTTGCCCCGCGGGTGGGTGGTTGTGCGGGGGGGGAATCCCGAGCCGCTGCCGTGCCCGGGAGRGGGTGCAAAAGGGGTCTGACCCCCCGCTTCGGTTCCCCGTCCACCGTCGGTGGGAGTCCCGGGTCCCGGCGGGGGGTTTTGRCGGTGCCGGGGGGCTCCGGTGTCGGGTCCGTCCCGCAAACGCGGGCACGTGGGACCCAAACGGGCCGGTCTGACCCGAGCGGGTCTTGTGTGGGGGGCTGAGCGCGATATGGGGGCGAGCAGCGAGTTGGCGGCGGGGACGGAGTGAGGAGCGAAGGGGGAGCGCGCGTTTCACCCGCGCCGTCCGGGTGCTTTTCCCGGGATCCGGCTCGGAGAGGAGCCGGGAATACCCACCCGGGAAGGCGGCCGGTAAAACCGCTGCGGGGTCTCGCAGCGAGGGACCCCCGCGCAACAGAYCCTCATAAAAGGACTCGCTCGGTGCAGGTCGGGGGTCCGGGGCTCACCTGAGGGCTCGGGTTGGCCCTACCTCGTGTGCTAGTGATGGGGCAGGGGGGAAAGAGCTCCCCCCTCTCAACTGGAGCCTTTCTGGCCTTTTGCTGGGGGGGGGCTTTGCTTTGAGATCAGCTTTTGAAGCATCTCTCCTGTTCCAGCCACACCGTCCTCAGCTGGTGTGGGATTGTTCGCAGATTTGGGGCTATTGTAGGGTTGTGATGTGGAGTTTTGCCCTGTTTGTTGTGGAAATTGCTGAAACTGTGTTTGGGAGGGGAGCTGAGGGAAAGCAGCGTYGTCTTCTCTGTGTTTTACTATCTTTTGGAGTTAAGGGATCTGTTTCACTTTGCTGCACTGTTAGATAACATAACTCGAATGCACTTTGTTTTGAGTAGCAAGAGACTATAGGGACCTAGTTGTTGCATCTAGGTGATGCACGTTAGTTTTCACATTAAATGTGATAAAGGAGGGTAAAGAGGGCGCAGGGCGGTTGCAAACCAGCYGTCTGCCCAGTGAAACCAGCAGCACGCGGCGGCTCGGGAGGGCGGCCCACGCGGCAGGGTCCACCCTTCGCTCCCAGCATCCTGGCTGGCAACTGCGGGAAGCGGCTCCGGGCGCCGGGCTTGTCCCGGCACTGGGGACACTCGTCTGTTGTGAGGCCCCTTTCCAGGTGCTCCCGGGGCTCCTCAGCTACAGTGTTGGATCCTGCTGTCCTYGGAGCAGCTCTGACACCGGGGTGTTTTGATGTGGATGCCACTTCCCAGCCCCATGGGTCTTGGATGCTCGGGAAGCTTTGGCAAAATCCCTTTGTGGCGGGTGCTTTGCAGGGAAGCTCTCCTGCTTAAAGACCTGCTATGAACATTGGCGCAGCCATCCAGGCAGTGAGTTCAGTCGGTTCTCTCCTTTCCTGCTGGTTTTAGATGGACGTCAGAGTTACGTTTCAGAACCAGGGGRCCCATGGGCTTTGCAATGGGATGCTTGGAAAAGGCAGGACTTTGCTGAGCCCTCTGCAGCGGGACTCTGCATCCCGCCGCTTCCCGGCCCATCGGCCTCATCCCGAGCGGCCGGGCCAGGCTGTGCTCCCTGGGGCCCTCCCCATGTGAGGTGAGGGGACATGACACCGGGTCACAGCGAGGCCAGATAAAGAGGACAAAGCCACCCGTGCTGCCCTCGTCATCCTCTGGGAAACCTCGGCATTCCCGCAGGAAGGGGCTCGGGCCGCGCGGGTCTCTGGAGGCTTCCCCCTTCCAAATCTGCTCCTTATCTCTCTTCACCGCAGTTGGCTTCCAGAGCAGCGTTATCAGCCTCGCTGCATCCCGTGCGGCTTCCTGGCGCTCCTTAAGCTCTTCCTTTGGCAGAGCCGGGYGATTCCCGCTGCTCTCCTGCCTTGGGAGCCGTGACTCCACGTTGCAGCAGCACTTTARTTAAAATCCACTGCCCCAAGAGCTTCCCTGTGCCCGAGCGATGGCTGCACGGAGGAGGCAGCACCGGGAAGCAGCTCGTGTTTSTGCTCGGTGCTGCTGAAGCCGCTCTGGACCCGGTACCTCCGTGGGTCCATGACACCCGTTAGCAGAAATCCCGGCTCAGCCGCTGCCCCATTCCCAGCTGCAGCAGTGGGAGGGAAACGTGGGCACTGCAGGAGCATGGTGGCTCATCCGAGGGATAGTCCCCTCTTGTTAAACTTGAAATTCCACTGCACATCCACATGAACTTTGGATTCTGGATTCTCCTTATTCCCGTAGCAAGAATTTAAGGTATGAAAGCGTAGGATTTTGTTGTTGTTTATGCCCATTTTCTAATCTTGCCCCAGATTTATGCAGCGCAGCAGCAATCCCYGTTCAACCTGTTGCACCGGCTCCCTTCAAAGCCCCGCTCTGCAGTGGGCACTTCTGTCCCGTGGCTCTTTCTCGTCCTTCGAGCCCCCTGGGCAGGGGGTTGTGCAGGACGGTTCTGCTGCCCTGTTCCTCAGCCCTCTGCTCGCCTGGCTGCGATTTTCATACCTGCAGCCGAGGTAATTAAAAGGCGTGCTCGTTCCAAACGACCCACGTTGCATAATTGCCTGCAAATAACAGAGCGCTGGGCAGTGGGCAAGAATGCCGGGAATTCTCCGGTTCCTTCAGGACTGCGATCGCCTCCAGGGCTTGGGGCGCCTGGGGAATCGCACGCCGCACTGCAGGGTCTCTGTCTTGTGCAGCCCCTGTGGGGAGGCAGCCGGAGCCCGGGGAAGGAGACGGCCCCGTCTCGAGACCACRGACATTGAGGTGGGACGGATGGGGCTTCCTTGCCTGGGGACACCAGCACCTTTTGTGGGTGTGAAACTGCCTGCAGTGGAATTCCGTTGGGGAATGCTCCTAGCAGCAATTCCAGCGACAGAGCAGAGCATAAAGTGCAAGACTTGACCATTTTGGGGGATATTTGCAGGCTCCAGTAAAATCTGTGGCTTAAACGGCGAAGAATTAGCCCTAGCAGGCCAGGTTTCTGCCCACTGCTGCTGGGGAGGCGCTGCTGAAGCTGCAGAGCTGTTTTCTCTAGCAGCGCGTCCCGGGCGCTGACGAAGCAGCCGCGCCACCAAAGCAGCGCAGGGAAGAGCTCCGAGTTTGCTGGAAAGGGGTAGCAGGGGGGCTGTCCTTTCTGCCTCTGTCACCAGCAGAAAGGACCTTGGCTGCCAGACTCCTGAGCATGAAAATGTAGCTGAAAGGCCCCTCCTTGGGAAATGAACGGGCTGACAAGCACCCGAGGGCTGCGGGTTGAATAGAAGAGCTGCGGGTCTGTGTCCATCCCTCCAGGATCAGTCAGGATCCAGCTCCTGGGATGAGGGGGATCCCTGAGGCTGGGAGAAGCCCAAGGCGGCTAGTCCTGGCCTTGGGGACGGCAAAGAGGGGCCTGGTTCTCCCTGTGTCTGTTCTTTTGCATCCAGCCAGCGCTTTCTACCCGGCCCCTCTACCCCAAAACTTGGTGCATGTCTGAATGCTCAAGGGCAATCCAAATTCTCTTTCTTCCCTTTTCCTTCATGCTCTTCCTTGTTTCTTTTTCAATACCTGCTCTAAGTTGGTGCATACAAAATGTTCATGTATCAGTTGGTACCATCGGGCTCAGACTCTGCATATCCAAATTGCTCCGGTACCATCCGCTTTGCGTCCGCGTGCTCCCGCTGGAATTTGTTCTCACCCAGCTCATTGGGCTCTTTCTCACAGCGCATGTTGGAGGGAACAGCTCTTTCGGTGTCGTGTTTTTTCTCGTTGTAGCTAAATGCTATTTTTGTGCTTTCCAACAGGGCCAGTACTGCGACATCTGCTCCTCTGCCAACAGCAACAAGGCGCACCCCATAAGCAATGCCATCGACGGCACCGAGCGCTGGTGGCAGAGCCCCCCGCTCTCCAGGGGCCTGGAGTTCAACCAGGTCAACGTCACCCTGGACCTCGGACAGGTAACCCAAGTCCTTTGTGCTGCTGCTGGGGCTGTGGTGACCAGGACCTGCAGCGCTGGCTTGAGCAAGTGGCCCTTGCTTGAGGGGTGAGGCCAAACCCTCYCTTAATGACAGGATAGAAGACCCTGGAGAGAGAAAAAGCTGTTGTCCATCTTAAATGCAGTCTATGTGATTTACTGGTACCTCTTAGGGTCTCCGTAAAAGTGGGATCGTCCAACACCACCCGTGAAAAGCTGGTGGGTGAGCACCCATCGCCCACGCGTTTCCCAAACGTGGCCYTGGGGAATTTAAGGTTGTGCTGTAAAACTCCTGCCTGGGGCATTTAAATCCTTGGGGCTCTAAAAGAGCGAGTCTGTTCTGAAGGTCTTTGCATTAATAAAATAAATAAGAAAAAGGGCAAAAAGGGATGACAATGGGTTCTTGGTCTGTAGCTGGCAAGTYGGGGAGCATTAGCATCATAGCAGCTCTGGCCRCCAGCCCCGCCGCCTCCTCTGCAGCTCTTATCCAGCACTGAGATGTGTTATTCTCTCGGACCTCCCTCAGCACAGGGATAAATAGTGGAAAAAATGTCCCTTCTGAAAGCTGCAGGGAGATGCTGCGGCCGAGAAACCTAAAATGCCGTGGGATGCGGATCCGCTCTTGGTCCGAGGCTGCTCCGGCTGCTGGGCTTGGGGAGCTCCTGGATGCTCCTTGTCCCACGGGAGCAAGCACTGTCCGCAGGGACTGACGGCCCCGGCTCCTCCGCCACTGGAACGGGGTGGACGGAGGAGGCGGGAGCAGTTTGGGCCTTGGAATTCGCGCTTCGGATGTTTGCTCTGGAGGCTCCATGTGAGCGGGATGCTGCTCTCTGCTGCGCTTCCTCAGGCTCTGCCACCAGCCCTACGTTAATCTGCCTTTTCCAATCTTCTTTCCCAAGCTCCTGTATTGCTCACCCCTATCCCGGAGGGATGGGATTGCGTCCTGGCTCTGCCAAGGTCRGCGGCAGGAATTGCAGCTGTGTTTGCTGGGCTGGGATCCCTCCGGCTCCCGCCTGCCTTTGCCAAGGAGGTGGTTGCCCAGCTTGTCCCAACAGGCGCTCAATCCTTTGGYTTCAGCCCGTTTTAGCAGCTTCCTCTTTATAGGAATTGCATATGGGGAGGGCACATGTACTAACCTGCCTATACCCGGCGCTGCTCCGCTTTCCCTCTCTTGTTTTGGGGTTCATGCTATAGAAATAAGAMAAAATGTTTGAGAATCCCCGATTTCCTCCTGTGAAGCTGAGGCTGGTTGAGAGGCAGGGAGGTGAGGAAAGGAATTCTCGGGAGGCAGGCGGCTCCGCGTGCTCCGGCAGGCTGCCGTGACTGGAAGCAGGGCTTGGAAATTCCTTGGATACCTGTGAAGTGGCGCAGGTAACACCCTGCAAGGCATGGCTGAGAGCAGAGCTTTCTGGCTGGCAAGCGCGGCTTCTCTCCCCACGCAGCCCCAGGAGCTTTTGCTCCAATTAAGGCTTAATTGAGTGAGGGTCGTTAAAAGCTCTCCTCCCTTTGGGATGGTCACTGGTGCCGGAGCACAGCCAGCACGGTGCATCCATGTGGGAGCCTTATGCTCCTCACAGGGATGTTAAAGTCCTCTGGGAAGGAGAGAGGAATATTGTCCGTGGTGGCGCACAGCAGTTTAGGAAAGGGCTGGGTTTGGCCCCCAGCATCCCGAATACTTGTGCTGTGTCATTCTGGTTGTTTCCGGAATGGTTAGGGTGGAAACGTGGAAAAGGAAGAAAAGTCACCCGGAGCTCCTGTGCCTTGCCATGATCAGGGAGCTGGAAGTCAGGCAAACATCCCTGAGGAGGAACATTCAACAGTTTCCAAGACACGGTTAGAAGAAGTGTAGAATAAATACATTTCTCGATTTTAATCATCGTCTTATGCTTAAGGATTTAATATGTTTATAATTTAGGATACAAATTGGGTGACTTGGTGGGCTCGGGTGGTCCAAGCACCGTGTGTTGGCACCGTGTTGACGTGCAGACCCGCTTGGGGGGGGAGCTGATTCCCGTGGCAATTCCCGATTCCCGAGGGCAATCTGAGCCTTGTGCTACTGCTGGCTAGTCCGGGCTTATCTCCCCACGGGATCATTCCGCCCTCGCCAGCGTGAAGGGCCCTGCTGGGACCGCAAGGCTGCCCAGCCTGCGCGCTGCTGCTCTGCTCCAAGGTCTTCCCTTTCCTGCCCGGAGCCTCCAGGTCAGCAGGGAACCGGGGAAGCATCTGGAGCTTGGGGCCTCTGCCGCCAAGGGGCCGTGCCAGGCGCGGGGACAGGAGGCTGTGACTCACTGCCCCACGGGAATGGCCCTCCGTGATCCTGTGGTGATTCAGCCCCACGGTGGGTGGGGGGAGGAAAGGGTGTGATGGAAGTGTTTATTTTTTTTTAATTTATTTTATTTTTAATTTTTTTAAGTAGGTTTTTTGAGTCAGAGCTGACAAAAATCAGGAGGGTTAAAGCAACGTGAATGGCTGGCGTCCTGCCAGGGCCTGACATCTTCCTCGCRTGGAGGTGAGGCCAGGCCAGCCCTCCCCAGAGGTGTTTGTGGGTGSCTGGTGCTTTGTGATAGATGCCGGGAGAGGAATGCCTGCAAGCCGTGCAAGGGCAGGAGCTTCGTGCCAGCGCTTGCCCGGGGTGAATTACCTGGATGGCGTCCCCCGAGATTCCTGCGCTGGAGGCACTGGAGAGGAGCAGAGCTTTGGCGTGGAGCTTTGCGGAGAGCTGTGATTTACACCCCTGGAGGTATCTGCTTCTCCTCCGAGCYGGGAGCAGGATTTATGAGCGAAAGCCTCCGCTTAGGGGGTGAGGGCCGTGTCTGGGAGCGCTTGGAGCGGCGCTCGCGGGGATGCCGGGGCCCTGGGGGGGACCCTGCTGCCCTGCGGGGCTCCCGGCGGCTGCTGCCCGCCCGAACACGCGCACACAAGGATCCCGAGTCCGGCGTGACCTGCGTTTTAAGTTGCCTTCATCGGTAACTTATGAAAACAGAAGGAAAGGAAATGAAAGGGATTGAGAATTGAGCTCATGGGGCTGGTCTGAAGGAGCCTTTCGTCATCTCTGTCAGGGATGTGTCTAGGCAAGGGAGCAGGTCCATGGTTTATCTTGCACCTAGAGAAGTGTCTCTTGGYCCTCTGGTAGTTACAGTGGGATCAGTCAAAGCTGCCGTTTCTCCTGGCCTGACCTTGCTCTGCCCAGACCTGAGCCCGCGACGGGTGCTAAACCTCAGCCTTGGACTGCTCCCTAAACAGCTCTAGGTAAGGACGGATGAAAGGATCATTGCTCCTTTTCCAAAGTGCACGCAGGATTTCCACTCTGATTTCCTCYTGTGTGTTTCGGTTGCAGTGTGCCGAGCAGCAAGGAGGCAGCTGGTGGAGCATCTGACCATGACAGGCTCCATTCCTGCCCGGCAAGATCCTGGGGTTCCTTGGGATGAGGAGAGAGCTGAGGCAGGGAGAGGTCGGGCAAGCCGGCAGCTCTGAGCTCTGCAAAGCAAACCTGGGGATTCCTTGATATTCCCGGGAAAGCGGCTGGGCTGGTACCYGGGAGCTCACCCTGGCTCGGCTGCCAGGTTTGCAGGTAGTCGTGCTCTAGGATTGGCTCCAGCCTGGGGCCAGTTAAAACCAGGCGTGTTAAACTAGGTGAGTTAAAACAGACCACAACCGTCTAGGTCAGGCCTCCGTTTCCCAGAAAGTTGTGTTCTCCTGCTTGGAACAGATGTTACAGAGCCTTTTTTTTCCCTGTACGGGTCTGTAGCCAGCCCAAGGTGAGATGCCACCAGGAGGTTCCTCCACGCTGGGAGCTGTCCCAGCCTCTGCAGCCCCTGAGCTGCTGCTTCCCGGCTCCAATGCTGGAAAAACGCAGGGAAGCCTGGCAGGGAAGATGCCGAAATGCACTTGTGATCATGCACCTAATCCTGCTCCCTCGAGCCAGCTCTATCCCTGTTGCTCCTCTCGTTTGATGCTCTACCAAGCCTGTTTAAGCCTGGCTTTCATCTCTCTGCCTCATCCTTTTATTATAGTCATAAAATGTGGGCCTCCAGGCTGTGCCCAGCCTTGATCCTAGCCGCTTCCTGCTCCCTGCGTTGCATCTCCTCGTATCCCACACCTCCCCGCCTGGGTTTAATGCCAAGCAGAGCAATATAAATAATACACTGCAGTGACAGAAGACAAAGGGGAGCAGTGCTGAATGAGGCAAGGTGAGAGGCATGTGCCTGGGGTRATGGGACAGGAGAGTCTTTTACATGGCTTGTGGGTACACAGCAATCATGCTGRTCAACCCAAGGAAAGCAAACTGTGATGCTCGAGGTGAAGTTTGGGGCACAAATGAGCAYGTTTTGGCTTGGAGGATGGTTAGGAAACAGCTGTGGTGAGTTATAAAGAGATTGATTGCAAGGCTTAGAAGGAGCCAGGCTGTCTGGAGAAGGAATGGAGTTGAAATACGAAGGTGAGATCTCTGTTGCAAAGAGGAACTGGTGGGTTGAATGGCAGTTTTCTCCTTCCTCCTTCAACCACTTAGGATAAGATTCAAACCTCTGGTTTAGGTGTTTACTCGTGGCTGCCTGGCTAGTTGATCAAACTTCGGAAACAGAGGGTGAAGTTTGSATCGGTGATAGCTAATCTGAGCTCAAGAGACAGAGAGGGCAGATCTTGGTGTCCCTTAGGAGCTCAGCATCCAGCTCCTTTCTTAGACTTCTTCTGAGGTGGTTTGGACTATGAAGGACAGTGATGGATGATGCTTAAAGTGTTCTCCTTGTCCTTTCTTTCAGTAAATAAGAAGATACATAAGGGGAAGCCTTTGGCTGCTGCTGGAATAATGTTTAGGGAAGACATGAGGATCAAGGTTTCCACCAAGCTAATGGAGAACTTGATCCCCTTGCTCCCAGCCACATCGACCTCCAGAAGCTCTGAGCRGGTTAAACTCCCTCAGGGAGTTAAACTAGCTGAGCCCCTCTTGAGGCCGTGTATTTGCCTAGCACCAATAGCAAAGCT